ATACCTTCCTCTTTGACACCGCTTCTTAAAGTCTCTAGATAGCTGTGTTCCTGTTATAGTTAGTGTATAAGAAGGCTGAGAATACACTTTCTGTAACATTTGGTGCCTTCTGGTAGAAATATATCTAAATTCCTCCTCAAATCTCTTTGAAAGAGAAAAGAAAGAAAATTCTGAGTTACAATTGCTTATTGTATTCTCTCAATATCTTCACGGATATCGATCCTACAGTGATGAAACACATACTATTCTACTCACAAGAACCTACTCTACAACTTTTATTATAGTATATCTTAGAGCGAAAATACTTTTCTGACCCGCAAAACGCCTCTGAAGTGTTGTCATGGCATTTTTAAAACAATTTACATAGAGAAGACCTAAAGAAGAGAAGAGAAAAATAGTTCTGGAGAAATACAAAAATTGACATATCTCATTACTCTGTGAATGGATTTTAATGTTTTAATATCCGTTGGAATTGCAGAGACCTCCTCTACAACTTTACTTAAGACCCCAAGACAAGGTTATATAGTACGAATACATTATTAGTTATAAACATAATCGTGACAAATTATTAATGAAATTTGATGACATTAAAAAAAATCCAAATAAAAACAAAAAATATTTGTTGGAAAGACTGGTTGGTCTTGCTAACAATTGTGCTCATTATCCAAACATACATGCAGAATATATGAAATTTTATGAAAAAATGATCTTATATTATTATGGTCATATTAAAAACATTCGAAAACGTGTTCCAATAAAAACATATTCTGAAGTAATGAAATTACAATATAGGCGTCAAGAAGTGGAAGCTTTCACACTTGACATGAGTCCTATAGAAAAAGCTATACGAAATATGAAGGTTATATTAAATGAAATAGATTTTAAATGTGAGTTTTTATTTCAAAATTACAGAAATATGTTATATTGTATGAATTTAAATTTACCTACAGCATCAAAAGATACACTATTTTTGATCCTAATAGTTACCCTATTTGTAAAGAGTTTATTATAGAGTATTGGATTTATATCAATGCTAATATGCCTGAATCATTGGGTGAATATATGTTATTAGTAAAAGAAAGTCCTTTTTCATCTATTATATCACCACAAAAATTTTGAGATTGTAGGTACAATTTCGAATATGATTTAGAAACTAAGATGCAATTAGCTAATCATATGATAGGTATCTTTTGTACTTCATTATTAGTTAATTATATGGAATCAGTTTTAATGAAGTCTCTAGTTTTACGCACAATGATTAAATTTATGAAACTAAATACTAATTTTAGCTTTTCTGAATTTGCTGATTTAAATTTTATATATTAGATCATATTCAGTAAAAGTTCTTTAGAATTGTCTGCTCTTATGCCAAGGGACCCAGCTACTAATAAAAAGGCATTAATGTATATGGTTTACTCTAAATTTTTTTTTTTTTTTTTTTTCCTTTGACAGTTGCGCTTTACGCATTTATTAGATAAAGAGTTACAGATAGCTAGTCTGTATAAGATTTAACTTAAACAAAAACCTATAGTCCCTCCCTATACATCTAATTTTCTAATGGAAAGCACCACTCAACACTCTATTTGCATACATGCTCAAATGTGACCTGTCGCACTAAAAACCTCCTTAACATAAAGAAAAAGAGAAGTCTAGACAATTTTGTCTGACTGTCTAGGAAGACTGATATTGATAAAAGTAAAATAAAATTGTTACATATAGTGAAAAGCAAGGCTACATACTACATATAACATTCAAAGCAAAGTTAGGAAAACTTGCTAACAAGATAAAACCTAACAAGCTAAAAGGAAAAAGTACAAAACAAAAACAAAAAGAAAGAAAAAGAAAATAAGAAAAGGCATCTCGTAAGAATCATAACCTAAACATACTAATTTTTTAGTTAAAAAGGATATAAATTTTTAAAATCCTAATATATTATTTCTAAATTGATCATATGTAGTAGAGTCAAAAAGATAATTTTTTTTTTATATTTTTCTAATTTAAGCAAAATACTAATCAAATAATATCTAATCTAAGCTTTATAATAATAGATAACAAATTGAGCAAGATAAATAAAATTTAAATTTTTATTATTACTAAACTATTTAGTATGAATATTTGAATTTAAGGTTTAGTAATCTTAGTGTAGTAATTAGATTATTAGATCATGATATAAGAGATCTAAAGTTCAAATCCTACTATCAATGAATTTAAATAATTACTCATACTTTTGTATTTAACTTATAGTAAATCTTATTTATTTTTGAGAGTTGCAACTCTATAAATCATATTATACTACAACTCTTTCTAACGATACTTTTTCCTAAAAATTCAGAAAAGCAAAAAACAAAAATTTTATTGTAAATGATAAAGAAGGTTCTTTTACAATACAATGGTTTTTATAGAGGTCAACTAGACTTGCTACTAGGAACTCCTTTGTATATTTAACATGCAAGCTAAAAATGATATTATATAAGATAACTAGTAGGTAGAGCCCTTGTATAAAAAAATTTTAGTAAAGAGACAAAAAAGAGCTCTTTGTTAATGAAGTTGGTAAAAGAAGACTTAAGACTAAAGGACAATAAATTATTTTGTCTACATACTTCTTTGGGCCTTAAAAAACAATATTCTACCACAAGCTTTTTCCTCTCAGTTTTCTTTTTTTTTTGATAAAAGTGAAGAATCTAGATTCTCTCCTACAAAAGATCAGTATTGTTTACTTCTTTTATTTTCAGAAATACTCTGTGAATATGCAACCTCATACAGTAAACAAAGTGACATACTTTGTTTGTTGTTGTGTCTGTAATATGACCTTGATGCTATAGGATTTAATTTTCTAAAATAGACTTTATATTAGAAAGAGAATTATTCGAGATAGGTTATAAGTTATACAACTTAAATTTTTAAGTCTAACTCAGGTTATAGAGTACTTGGTTATCTTTTTTCTTTTTCTGTTTTTTGTTCTATATTAGTTTTCTTTACCTGTAGCAGGTTTTTCTAGTATAGACTTCATTAT